AGCTGCAAGTGCAGCAAAGAGAGTTGAGAGTTGAGTATGAGAGGGTGTAATCCTCCTCCTCCATGTATTTGTTTTGTATTCTTTCTCTATCTCTAAATATATTGACTTCTCCCGTGGATGTAGGCGATTTTGCCGAACCACGTTAAATATTGTGTCAGTGTGCTTGGCCCTCCTATGAGCAAATATCAGTACATCACCGGTCGGAATTCCCAACAATTGGTATCAGAGCGTTCGGTTTAAAGTGGTGTTTGATTTTGCTCAAAAATGAAAGTTGTCAAAATTGTGTTTTGACCATACCACTGTGTAGAGGAGGAAGAGACGAAGCCACTGGTGAAAACCGCGTCAAAATCGGACGCCGAAAACCGCCCCAGAGCTCCGGCGGGGTGACTGTCCACGTCATCAGCCACGTCAGCAGTTCTGCACAGTCATCAGACACGTCACCTGACATATCAGCACTCTGACCAGTCAAACTGCCACGTCATTAGGCACGTCAGCAGTTCTGCACAGTCATCAGACACGTCACCTGACATATCAGCACTCTGACCAGTCAAACTGCCACGTCATTAGGCACGTCAGCAGTTCTGCACAGTCATCAGACACGTCACCTGACACATCAGCACTCTGACCAGTCAAACTGCCACGTCAGATTTGGTTGACATATATGTCCTACGTGGATGACACGTCATTACAGCCACGTCAGCTCCCTGGATTTTGATCCTGTGTGGTAGAGTCTACGTGCAACCGGTTCTGAGATTGAATCTGGGCCGTTTATCAGGCCAGAATTGTTTTGATCAAATCTTAGCCGTCTGAAGTGTGATTTGGATGATTTCAGACTTGTTTCCAGCTAATTTGATCATTCCGGATGCAATGGTATGGTCCGATCATTGAGATTGAGATCATAAAAGGTAGTGATGAATTATTAAAGAGAGATTGCCCGATTAGGAGGCATCTGATGGTCATCATGGTGGTTGATGGAGCTGAAGAAGAAGAAATCACACATGTTTGCCCAATTACATGTGTTGAACTATTATGTAGGGAATTTTAATTGCCTTGAGGGAAGTTAAAATTGGGACACTCTGGACACCCGATCATTTGGACAATTTGAGGTGGAGAGTGAAATTTGATGAAGACCAATCTTGACGAATCTGAGCACTGGTAGTCTCGCCAGATATTGAGAAATCAGGTATAAAACCAGGATACCCAAGATCACTTGTAAAGGAAAGCCGCAACAAAGCTAGCAAATGGTTGTATATACGAAAAGACTGTACGATGGATAGATATGGCCTAAGAAGTTCTGGTTAGGAGATTGGGTTTTAAGCGGGACCGTTGTGACCCCTCCAATCTTTCCTGGGAACTTGCTTAGTGGAAGGATTATCCATACGGTACTATTTTCGTATATGTGACAGTTTGTTATGAAACTATTGAAGACTAGCAGGATGACGGCACAAAGGAATAGTTGGGTTCCGTATGATCAAGGATTTGATGGAGTGGTGATT